GTAATTTAAGGTATTTCTTGGAAGTTGACTTCTGAGTATTTGTGAATAACCTCTCACACAGCATCAAGTACAAACAAATCCACCATTGAATGAATTTCTTATGTAAAATTTGGGAACTAGCTAAACTTTAAAATATTGTATATTTAGCTAGAATTGTATAATTACTAATGTCTTAGGAGCTATGGTGATTTATACTATAGCATATTTACATCAATTCACAGGAATTTTGTATTTATTGATTATGTAAATAAAATTTCTGAGGCTCATGTATTCATATCTGGTAAATGTATGTTTTCAGAATACTAGGGAATATAGTGTTTGTTTTATTCAAGCCATAATTTATTAAAGTAAATAATTCTCTAGAAAATTGAATAGTAACTCTAGTAGGTGTTTAGGAAAAGTTGCTGATTAATTGACTGGCTGATATAATTTTGAAAATTAATGCAATTGTCAACGTTACCTAACCTTAGACCAAAGAAGATCTTTGAGGGAAATTCTTCCAGACTAATAAATCTATGTGAATGCCCCAAATTAGAAGTGGATCAGTCATTGTTGTTTCCCTCTCGATGAGGCAAATAATTCACATATATTTTGAGCATTTGATATATTTCTAACATTGTTTTCAGCACAGGGGGATATTAAAAGATACCTAGTTCGTGTTTACAAGGAGGTTACAATCTATTGGCAGCAGCAAGTTATACATGACTAAGCGTTAAACCGATGATCCTCACAGTTGTGTGACGTGGGAACCACAGGACATTGAAAAGTCTAGAAGATTGGTGTGATGTAATATTTCATGACCCTGAAATTAGAACTTCTGAGGAACTTCGAGGCGTGGATTCTGATAGAGCCGCATGCGATGAAGCCTGGCGCTCTCGCTCAAGTGTTGGTGGGTTGGTGGCAGGCCATTAAGTGTTTATGGAGGAGCACAGCAGTAACATTCCACAGTCAAGAGGAAGAAATAGCCAGTATGGAAAAACGTGGTGTGACTTTTTTATGGACATAAGCTGGGATAAAGGACAAGGAAGACAGGAACAGCACGAGCATTCCTGACCTTCGGAATGGCGTGAACAGTCTTGACTTTGCAAATGCTGCGGCATAGATGGAAGAGAACAGATGGGCTGTTTTGACCTCAGCCACCCTGGAGATGAATTGGAAAGATTAAGGAAGGGACTGCAGTGTAGGAACCAGAATCCTAATTTCTTTCTTTTTCTCTAATGTTGAATACCTCACTTTTATTTTTAGTCCTCTAGACTTTTAAAACATATATATTTTGCTTTATAATTTTCAGGGCTTGGAATGTTAACAAGACTTTTTGCAGACTTATACGGTAAAATTAAGACAGCCTCAAAACTAAGACTTAGTAATCCTGAAATTGTTGTTGGCCTCCTTCTGTTTGTCCTCTTGCTTTAATACATAGTATCTATTATTTTTTCTTTCCACAATCTAAAAAGTGCCAGGCATCTGGAAAAAACACAAAGCGCAATAAATATTTGTTGAATTAAGGCATCTTTCTTGAGGGCAGAGATTATATTTTTTCTTCTCTTTATGATTCACCATGACTCCTACGAGGCTGTTTTGTGCACAGTGGACATCCAATAACTATAAAGTATTGAAAATGTTTATATTGCTGCGGAGCAAGCATGACTACAGTGAATATTACTTGGCCAAGCTGTCTCACGAATTCATTCATTCAGTCAGTCAGTGATGGGTGCATTCATTGGACACTGTGCTAATGTGGGGGCAATTAATCTAATGGTGGTTGTAGCAGTATTTTCATGTCTTTGTGCCTTTGTACAGGCTGGTTGAATCTTACTCATGCTTCAACTCTCGGCTCACATGGCACTTTCTCCTTTGGCATTCCAGGCTGGGGTAGGTGCTTGTCCTTTCATAGTCTTTCTCTAACTGGGTGGTGACTTGCCTGTAGCCCTTTCGGTTGGAGCTCCACAGAGCAGAACTGAGTCATTCACCTCTGTATCCCTAGCACCAAGCCCAGTGCCTGGTTTACAGATGTCACTTGATGAAAGTTTGTCGAGTAAGTGTTTGTAGAACACATGGAATCTTTAATGATGGTGTTGTCAGATACCTGGCTTTGAACTGGCAATTTAACTTTTAAGTATTGAGCTCAGAAAACCAACTAAAAAAAAAACCTAGCAGAATTATAACTATTTGGAGACAAAAGATGAGTTAACAAGAAAGAAAACTTGAAAGTCACAAAAATGTGATATAAATTATAAGGTGAAATGTATATTACCATTGATAAACTATTCATGTTGGGTGGCTATGTACACTTTTTATTCTGGCAAAGTTTTACTGTGCATCTAGTGTTTTTGTTGAAACAATGCAGGCATCCCTGTCAGTATGCACTGAGCCTGAGAACAGGGCAGCGGAGACCTTAGAGGTCATTCAGTCCAAATACTCTTAACCAAAGAAATAAAACCAGATTTCAGAGTGCACAAAGGCAGGCACAGTTCAGCGCTACAGTCTTGTCTGTGCCACAGTGGGCAGAGGAGCCCCTCTAACTCTGCCACCACCAGTCCTTCCACTACGTCATCCTGCTTTCCCAGGAACCACCCATGTGCAGTCCAGGAGACAGCTGTGGGGGGCTTGGTGGATGGTGGGTGATCTCCCTCTTCATGCACACAGCTTCCCTGTGGCCATCCAGGTGCTCTGAAGGAAGAGGGGAGTTGCCATGCTACAGGTCTCCCCACAATCTACAAAGATGACCCTCACATATATGGCTAATAACAGTAGTGGCTGCCATTCATTGAGGACTCTGCCAGACTGATTACGTAGGTTAACTCAGATCCTCACATCGCCAGGCAAGTATGTAAAATTTCCTCCCTTTTTACACATAAGGAGAGTGGGGTTGGGGGAGACTCTGTGACATGTCCATGTCACAGAACCAATAAGTGGCAAAGGCAGGTTTCCCACTAGACCTCTCTAACTCCCCAAATTCCATAGGTTTTTCCAGACACCACATCACCTTATAAAGGAAAGAGAATATAGTGACCTATCAATATTTGTTAGGTAATACCGTATATCAAGAAGAACAAAGCAGAATGCTTTCTGTAGAGTTTAAGTACTTACCTACCTGAATGTGTATGTGATTCTTCAGAAGAAAAAAAATCACCCTTTCATATAGATTTCATACCATTATAGTAAGTTAGAATCTCATGTAAATATGAAGCAGAATGACTGAATTCAGGAATTTTTAAATTTTTCTTTTTAGTAACCATTGCATCAGTAGAGCATACATTTTTTGTTTGCTTGTATAATAAGAAAACTACCAGTTTTTCCTAGAATTTGTTAATTCCTTGGAAGAAATGATAGAAGTTGTCTAATGTACACAATATTCTCCTTGAAGCCAGTGTAAATGCCTACCACATTATTTTTAGATTGAACTGGATTTTTTCTAAATTTAAAAAACCTAATTAAAATATAATTGTTAATGAAGGCATGCTGTTTATTCAAAGTTTAAGTTAATAAAAACTGTCTTCTTAAATTCCCAACTTAACACTCAAAAAATTTATTTTTGACCCTCTCAGAACCAAATAAGTAATGATTGTTATCTTTAAGTTAGAAATGGGGACTAATTAGTTTTAAAATATTTTTCGAAAACTTGGCAATGTTGTTTGTAACAAATACAATGGAATCTACTACCATGTCCTTATTTATTTGATTGTGAGTTTTTTCAGTCCACACCAGAACTTTTTGAGAATAAATAGAATTTCTATATTAGGTAAACATGATTTTTTACTTTCTATGAAGACATGTGCCTTTATTCAGTTGGAGGCTAGAGACAGCTCACGTGTCTTGGGTTGGGTGATAGTAATGATTTCCTTCTGTCCTCAGAACGATGTTTGGAAGATAAGTCAAAACAAATGCAAAATGAGGAGGAAGACTAGTTACTCTTAGCACAAGTGGATTTTTGTCTCACAAGGGGATTTGATGAAGTCTATTATTTTCCCCAGAAACTCCTCAGGCCCAGCTCCTACTTGTCTTTATTTTCCCCATATCTCTAGAGGAGAGCTTTGCATATTAGTGAGTATGAGTTGACTTGACTTGACTTTAGCTTGGCTGGATCAGGCTGATCTTTAGTCAACTGGTACCCTAAAGGTGTGGAGTTACAGCATTCCCTTCTGCTAACTGCTGTGTAGAACTATTTCCTTCTCCATATAACTCTTGGAAATTCTCTCAGATAGTCACGAAGGGTTTGAAGTGGCTGGGAATTAATGCAGGGTATTACAGACTCAATAAGCCACCCTTGTTAGATTTCTTGTCCCTTCACCTTGAATTAGAGTATCAGAAGCTATGCATAAATGTAAACTCTGAGCTTCACTACTCTTAAATTCTGCTGGATCATTTAGGTAAAGAGTTTGTCTTTCATGTGATGTGTTTACATATGGATGAAGGTGGTGCAGTCACTTTCACAGAGAGCTTTACAAAGTAGAGCTGTCTGAATGCTATGAAGGTGAGTGATTACTGTTATCAGGCAATCGAGAGAACCAACACTGGCGTTAGAAGATGAATGGGTAAAACAATATAGAGTCAGTGTTTTGTGGGTGTATATATAAAAAAAGGCCTAGAATATTAAATCAAAAGTAAACCAAACTGAAAATTCACTAAAATTGGTGGCTTTTTTCTTTTAATTTTATACTCATTTGATGTGTGAACTCATTCTTGATGCATATGTTTAACCAAAAATTTAAAAAACAAAGGAAAATTAAGGTCAAATTTCTACCTCTCCTCTCCACCCCCAAAGAAGGAATTTAGAAGTATTTAACCCACACATTTTAACTGGGATGACCGCTTACAGCTGAGTTGACCTAAATGGTTATAAAAGTTCTACATAGAAGTGTTAGTAGAGATTGTTGATGGGCAAATCTTGACTGGAAGGAAAATGTAATTTGCACTGTGAATATACAACTAGGAAATTTAGGAACAAGCGTTTTCTGTTTAGCTTGTTGTGAAAATAACACCATGTCCTTTGGTTCCAGGTAGCAGGATGAAGAAACGACTGAAGGAACCTGACTTCCTACCATGAAAAAGGTCTGGTGTGAAAGAAAGCAATACCTGTGAAAAGTCAAACATCTCATCACATACAAACCAAATCTTCCCAGGTGGTATTTCCATTTGTAAACTAGATTTTCATTCGACATAAATATAGCGAACAATATGTGTGTTTAATTTCAGTTTCTTTTTTCTTGAAAACAAAGGCAAAGCCTCTGTCCACTAAGATGAGTAAACCTTAAGCAGTGTTTGCTAACTACCCTGTCTTCTAAATGTGGCCTCTCTAGGGTGTATTTAATGTGGTTCATTTTCAGGAAGTGGCAAAGGAATGAAGAGTCATTCAGGAAATATTGACAATTTTACTCGTATCTATAGGAAAAGTCTTGTGAAAGAAAGGAAACTATTTTTTAAACTGTCTTAGAATAGTTTTTTTAGGCACAGTTTAGGACAGTGTAATAGAAATTAAAGCATGAATGTTATTTGCAGTTATTCCTTCAATAACAATAATTATCATACCGGTTTTGGTGATTAATACTACTACTGACGTGACTCCATAAAACCCATGTGGATTTTTATGTAGGTAAAATTAGAGTTGTTTTTTTTCCTCTTAAAGCTTGGACTATGTATTTAAAGACTTGTCCAAAGCCACATAGCCAGTTAGTGGCAGAACTGGTGCTAAATGCAGATTTCCTGATTTTAGCTCTGTTGCCATTGTTTCTTTTTTTTTTTTCCTCATTACTTTAGCCTATTTTATTTAATTTACTGTGAGGAAATATGTTCTGAGGAAAATAAAAATAAATGGAAAAGAGTAAAATGAATTCTAACTTATGGCTGTTGTTTTTAGTAATTTTCAGCATTCTGGTTTATTTCATTCCCAAGCTATTCATGTCCCACAGTGGACATTGATGTGCGGCACTGTGGCATGGTGGTTCCGAGCATGGGCTCAGCAGTCAGACCACTTGGGTGAGGCTGCTCCTGCCCCTCAGTGAGTGTGAGAGCTTGTGTCTCAGCTGCCCCTCTGGAAAACAGGGGTGTAGTAAAATCTACTTTTGGGGGTTGTTGTGAGAATTCAAAGAAGTGTGGTTTGTTTAAAGTGCTTAGGATAGTGTTGATGTATATAGTAAGTACCCACAAAATGTTAGAAATTATTTTACTCACTTTCATATTATCAAGGAAGACGAAAGATTTACTATCCCAACTTAAAATACAAAAAAAATTAGGGATCAAGTGGAAATTCGCTTTCTGGAGAAGGGCTTCTCAGTGTTCCCATGACCTCTCTTGTAGGCATTGTTAGCTCATGATGTGAGCTCATTAAGGCCATTAAGTGAGAAACAGGAGAATAATGTTTTCAACTAGTAAAATCTTCATAAACCAGGTTAATTAGCAGCTTAGTTACTAAGTTAAATTATTTTCCTTTGAAATTTAGGCTTTATGTTAAAAAAAAATTGTTAAATAGACTAGGAAGTCCTTTTAGATGTGACATTAGCTCTCAGAAAATAAGCATTGTGATGAATTCTGGGTAAATGAATTTAAGACATGGATTCCATATTCATTAAGTATGGAAGTTTAAAAATTACGAAAGTCTTGGGAATGTGTCTTAGAAAATCCACCCAAAACTAAGCAACATGAAAGTAATTTCATTTTTGGTCCTGATTATAAAAGTTGACAGCTTCTTTCTTTTCTCATCTGGTTAAACAGGTACGTAGAATTAGAGACTTCTGGAGTTGGAAAAAATAATTAGGATCACGTGGCCTTAAAGTTTTTCAAATTTCTAACCACAGCACCTATTGAACAAATGTACCCTTCTACAGAAGATTCCGTGCAAAAGGAGCTCCTGCGGTTGTTGCACTTAAAGCAAAAACATTATCTTCTTGTGAATGATTTTTATTGAGTAGCTAATTTGGTCATTGCTGTGAGTCACAATTCACATGGGCTGGAGGCCCCCTGATCTCTGATGGATGGCTAGGCCACTGATGAGGTTGAATAATGCTGAGGATGAGGGAGCTCTCTTGTAGTCTAATCCAGTGGAACCTGAGCTGGTGGTAGTGGATTGTAGATCTCTTGACAGAAATATATCTCTTTATGTAATTAGCGATGGCCAAGGTCTCTGTTTACTCTAACTAGTCAAAATTGATTTAAGCCTAGAGTATTTCCTCTCAGTGATTGGGCCTCATTCATTAGCCACGATGTAGACAAAATAAAAGACTCCCTTTGGCAGGGAAAATTGATTGAAGCCCCAGAGACCCATGCAACAAAGCCAAGCCTTACTTCAGGATTCCTTGCCTTCTTGAAGCCTTGTTTATATTAAAGTTCAGGATTCTGAGGGTTACCCAGCACCCCTGACACGAGTGCTCACCTAATTGTCTGCCACCCTGACACTGAGTTGTGCCTCTCCTTGTTTGCTACAGTCAGTCAGGTTGTGTTTATTGCCTGCTAGCATGGTAGGCTGCTCACCTCACAGTGAACACTGCATAGCCTTATTCTACCATGTCAAGCTTGTTTACTGATCCGTGAACCTTATGGAGGGTGTCTGGTTGTCTTTTGATACTGTATCAGGATCCATGCATCTGTGCTTGCTTTTGCCTGAAAACTCACCTCATTCTCTAAGCATTCTATGTGATAAAGTTTGTATTGAAGACTTCAGTTTCTGTGATGGAATCACTTGTAATGGACAAATCCTTCTGCAGTCAGTGACGATAAAGCTGGACAGAATATGTAAGACAATAGATTGAAGGCATTAGAGAGAAACCAACATAGTTACTAAGACATGAGGGGATTATGATCCTCGAGAGAAATGGAGCACTATAAGCTGAGGTCAGATTCTCCCTGGCTTCTTCTATGACTGCATTTTCTAAATCACAGCACAAGTGAATGAAGTATAAGAAGAAAGTGGCATTGTTACTGGACTAGGGAGAAAGAAGTCAGAATTTGGGGCACAGTGGCTAGGACAGGAGGGGCAAATTTCTGGAGAGAACTAAACCATAGAAAAGTAGCCAAATATCTGCATATAATTTGGCCCAAGTCATTTACCAACTAGTCTGCACATAAGCAGGGTAAAGAGTCCAAGAAACCCAGTACAAAAGAACATCTGGATGGTCAAATAGCTGATCTGGGATATTTGTAGCCACATGGTACTGGGGAGAGAGATAGGAACTCAAGTGCTCCCAAGGTAGAGGGGAATTGATAAACAACTCAGGCTTTCTATGGAGACCCTACCCTCTCTGTCAACCCTGGAGTAAGGACCTTACCCTAGGAAAGTTGAAATAGATAAGCCCTAACAGAGCTTTAAATCAGGCCTAGACAGGATCAAGTGATTCACCACAATTTTTTTTCTGAATGTCGGAAAAAACTTGAACTTTCTTTGAAGGAAGATATCAGTCAGAGCCTCCATAATATTCAAGATTCAGTAAAAATTTGCAAGGCATGCTATAAAAAGGAGAGAAATGACTAAAACCCAACAGAAAAAAGTCAATAAAACCCATAGATGATTTAGATATTGCAGATATCAGATAGGGACTTTAAGTTTATTAATATGATCAAGAAGGAGAAAATAGATGAAAAGATTACTTCAACTGAGAATTGGAATCTATATAAACTAATCAAATGTATATTCTTGAACTGAAAAATACAATACCTAACATTAAGAACTTTGGATGTTTTGAACAGCTGGGTGAACACGTCAGCACACAGGACTAATGAACTAGAAGATAAGTCAGAATAAGCTAGGAGAGAATGGAAGACAGAATGGAGCATAAAAGACGTGTGATACACAAACTGACTTCTCAACTCACTCTACTCCAGAAAGAGAGTTCATACTTAGGAGCTCTGCAAATAGCTTCTCTCCAGGCTATTGGATGCTATTAGAAACATGCTTAGACACATCTAATACCGTTGCTCATTCAAAGCATTTGAGTTTTCAAGGAAACTTAGAGAACTGAGAGATACATTTGTTAAGTTTAATTTTAGTGGAAAATTTGTTTCCTTTAAGTGATATCTTTGCCAAAATTTGACAGCTTCTGAAAAGAGAACAAAGTTAAAGATTCTGGGGAGTAGGAGTAATCTGGATCAAGTTTTTCTTCCTATAGGAAATAACACAATGTCATCAGAATGTATTACTATTTCCATGTTTTTGTTCTCTTTTGCTCTTATTCTGGTTTTCATTTCACAGCTGTTTGGATCAGTGGCAGATCCCTGCCCCCTTCACTTCCTCCTGTTTTCTTTGCTTCTCACTTTTGATCTGTCAGTGCATGTACTCCTTGCCTTTTTACTATGTTAAAAGTCTATAAGGTTTTCCATTTCAGGAAAATTAAGCAGACAGCAGAATTTTTGATCCAAGTCTTTGTAATTTGCAGCATGAGAGCTGTTTCCCCAGCTGCAATGCACCTTTTATGAGTTTTAAACTATTTTTCTTGAGACTTAAGTACATTTCTTGTAGCCCCACCATGACACTGTTGGGGAAAAATAATATATTCTGACAGTAGTCTTATTGGTGCCTTAGAAACAGATAAAAGCTTGGAAGGCAGATTTATCAAGATGTTAATGAAAAGTGGATAGTATATTTTATCAATTTCTTATTCACTGATTCTCAACTAAAAAATTAATCAAAAGCCAATGTTTGGTATCATAAAACCTTGGCTATTTAATGTATTTGGGAATGGCTTCTGATCTAGAAGTAATGTTGTGTTCCTTCTCTCCCCTTAGCCTTTTCACCCCACAGCCTCCCCCCAAATCCTTGATGGTAAAGAGGTTTCCCCTGGATACCCAATAACACATGACTCCAATTACAAATAAGTGATTGCGCCACAACTCTTCCTAATGCCCATGATAACCCAGTTTCTGAGGGTAAGATTTTTTCTTGATTATAAAATGCTTTCACAGATGTTTTCTCATTTGACTTTTTCAAAAATTGTGTGAGGTACGAAGAGAGAGTAGTATTATTACCCTTATTTCACAATGAGGAGGCTGAGGGAGAGGAAGAAGTGACTCACCCAAGGCAATAGCTAGTAAGCATTAAAGCCTGGACTCAGGCCTTCGTTACTATTCAGTGTTGACATCCTTCCTTAGGAGGCTTGGGTGGACTGGTAGGTGGGTGCCAGAAGCAGTATGATTG